ATACGGGCTGGGAGGCAGGTGCCCAGGTGCTGTATAGACATTTTACATGATGTTGGGCAAGTCACTAAGAGCCTGTCTTCATGGGGACCCTCAGGAATGTTTAAATCAAATTGGGTGTGAATTTGAAGTGGATTAGTTAAATTGCATTAAAACACCCTTGTAGATGCTCTCATTCAGAACTGAAGTGTCCTTAATTTGATCTAGCCAATTCACTTTCAAAGTAAATTAAACTAAACTGAATTAAGACCACTTTAATTTGGAATAAAAAGCACAGATTTTTAAAGGTATTTAGGCATTGCTCTGCTTGCCATTGTAAGGTCTAAGTGACAGACAGCTAATCTGCCAGCATGAGCAAAGTTAAATTTAAAACATAATGAAACTTTTCCTTATGGCCAAGACCAATAGGAATCTATGTGCATGGAAAATCCACAAATTGTAATGATATAGAGCCCGGGTTGGCAAACTAGCCGTTTTAAGCCGGTCCTTGAGCTCCTGCTGGGGAGCAGGGTCTGGGGCTTGCCCCGCTCCAGCACTCCAGCCAAGGAGCAGGGCCAGGGGCCCCTCCACGTGGCTCCTGGAAGCAGCCGCATGGCCCCCCTCTGGCTCCTACGCGCTCCAATGGCCCCACTCCAATAGGGTGACCAGATGTCCCGATTTTATAGGGACAGTCCCGATTTTGGGGTCTTTTTCTTATATAGGCTCCTATTACCCCCCACCCCCAGTCCCGATTTTTCACACTTGCTGTCTGGTCACCCTACACTCCAATGGCCCCCTCCAGTGCTCCAACGGGAGCTGCAGGGGCGGTGCCTGCGGATGGGGCAGCATGTAGAGCCACCTGGCCGTGCCTCTCGTAGGAGCCGGAGAAGGGACATGCCGCTGCTTCCGGGAACCGCTTGAGGTAAGCACCGCCCAGAGCCTGCACCCCTGAGCCTCTCCCCACGCCCCAACCCCCTGCCCCATCCCTGATCTCCCTCATGCCCTTCAAACCCCTCGATCCCAGCCCGGAACACCCTCCTGCACCCCAAACTCCCCAGCCCCACCCAAGAGCCCGCACCCCCAGCCGGATCCTGTACCCCTTCCTGCACCAAACCCCCCTGCCCCAGCCCTGATCCCCCTCCTGCCCTCTGAACCCCTCGGTCCCAGCCCAGAGCACCCTCCTACACCACAAACTCCTCATCCCCAGCCCCACCCAGGAGCCTGCACCCCCAGCCAGAGCCCTCACCCCCTCCTGCACCCCAATCCCAATTGTATGAACAGTCATGGCCCACCATACAATTTCTATTCCCAGATGTGGCCCTCCGGCCAAAAAGTTTGCCCACCCCTGATATAGAGGGTATCTAGAGATGTGATATGGGTTTTACTCTCTATTCCAGAACTAAAACTTTCATTTTCAAAAGATTTTTGCTCTTCTTTTTGTGAAGAGAGGTCAGAATACTACAGTAATGGATGAGGTATATGGACCTCACTGCACACAACGTAAACTCAGGCCATGTCTATGTTACGGAGCTACAGCCGTGCCATGGTAAAGCTGTAGCATAGACACTTGCTACAGCAAATGAAGAGTTTTCCACTACTATAGGTAATCAATCTCCCTGAGCAGTGGTAGCTAGGTCGACTGAAGAATTCTTCTGTCAACTTAGCCACATCTACATCAGGGGGTTATGTCAGCATAGCTACAGAGTTAAGGGGCCTATACTAGAAGAAAAGTGCTCCTATTATAGACCTAAATCAGAATATCCAGGTAATGCATATATGGACTCCTTACATTCTTTTCATTTGAAACAATGGTGCATAGTTATTAATACTAGAAGTCTTTTTTAGATTGTAAGATTTTGGGGGCAGGGAAGAGCATGTACCTTACATGTTTGTACAATACCTAGCACATTGGGGTCCCCATCTTCATTGGGGCCTGTAGATATTACTGTGGTGGTGATAATAAAGCATTAATACATAATATATTAATAAATAGTGTAACTAGATACAGTATCTTTCACTTCTAGTTCACTTAACCTAGCCTGGCTCAGTAGAGACATATTTTTGCCAATGGCTTTTGATAAATGAGTTGGAGCACTCAGTGAAGTTCCCATATGACAGCCACCCACATCTCTCTTTCTCTCTCACACACACAGCATCATGACTGACTACTCTTTGTTGCCAATCTGTGCAGAGAAGCAAAGGATTAGAATGGGCATGGAGACTGAACTGCTGCGGGGGTAGGGTGGGGGGACAGTTTCTCCAAGCAAAGGTTGAGGCACATTGGTGAGGCATTTTGCTGATGTTCTGTGGACAAATGGCTGTCAATATGGAATTTTTCACAAGCATTTAAGATTCACCTTACAAAATTCTAAATGTTTAAAATTACATTTGAGAACTTGATATAAATCATGTCACTGCCATAATCTCCACATTTGAGAGAGACACATAGGCACACTTTCAGTTTAAGTAAGTGAAAGTAGCTCATAAGCATTCACAGGCATTCTCTCCCCTATGCCCAAATATTTACTTTTAACCTAGGACTAGATCCTAATAACAGTTATGCAAGTAACTGTACTTGTGCAAGTAGCCCCATTGGCTTCAACTGAACTACTACCATAAATGAAGTCACTTATGTAAGTACGCATATGCAAGATCAGGCCCCTAATATGAATTTTTTTGAAGTCCAGAAAGTACATTTTTAAATGTAGATCCCAAGAACCTCATAAGTGCTTAGATACGATGGTGACAGATGCAATACTGTATAAGAAAGAGGATTAGAAAAAGATGGGGGTGGGGATGGAACTACAGCCACTGGGAGCTGCAGGGGCAGCGTCTATGGGCAAGGGGCAGCACATAGGAGCCGGAGGGACATATTGCTGCTTCCTGGGAGTCACCTGAGACCAGCACTGCCTGGAGCCTGCACCCCTCACCCTCTCCTGCCCCAGCCCTGAGTTCCCTCCCACACCCAATCTTCCTCCCAGAACCTGACCGCCTCCTGCACCCCAACCACCTGCCTCAGCCCATCTCCCACATTCCAAACCCCTTGGCCCCATCCCCCAGCCCAGAGCACCCCCCCAAACCCCTCATCCCCAGCCCCGCCCCAGAGCCCACATCCCCAGCTGAAGCCCTCACCCTCTCCCACACCCCAAACCTCTGCCCCAGCCCTGAGCCCCCTCCCATACTCCAAACCCCTCGGCCCCAGCCCGGAGTCCCCTCCTGCACTTCACATCCCTCCTCCCCGACCCCACCATGAAGCCCACACCCCCAGTCCAGAGACCATACTCCCTCCCACACCCTGACCCAGCGCAGAACCCCCTCCCACATGGAGTGAGTGGGGGGCAGGGCCTCAGAAAAGGGGAATGACAGGGGCAGGGCCTTGGGAAAGGGGCAGAACAGGGCAGGCAAGAGTGTTCCCTTTTCTGCAATTAGAAAGCTGGCAACCCTAATACTAGGGGCTGTATTGCTTTAGTTTTAAACCAATATAGGTATAGCTGTAAAAAATCTGGATGGAGACAAACTCAGCCACAGACAGTAGTTTGTGGCTATACACATCAGGGTTTACATATATGGCTCTTAATAGCGTGCATGTATCATATTTCAATCTTGCTTCACAGCAAGGCTGCAACATAATATGATTTGTAATCAGCTTCTAACACAAATTTGTTGGTAGATGGTACCATAATCATAGCTGGACTGTCTGTTTCCCCTTTCCCAAGTCTTTGGAGATCCTAAAGTGCACAGCACTAAATGAAAATCACCTCTTTTTTCCCTGGCATTAGTAGCTGTGGCATTAAGGGAGAGCTGCCCAGCTTTCCCCAGAATGCACTGATTCAAACACAGTTGTCAATGTGACGGGTGTGGACAGCCAACATGGTTGATACAATTATGCTAGAAAATACGCTGCTGTATGGATATGCTGATATGTGTTAGCTGTAACTGTCTCAGATGAGCATGGTTAATGTAGTTCTACCTGGTGTAGACTGGATAAAGGAAAGGAAGGCAACAATAATGTACAAGGTTATTGGGTTTAAAAACACTCCCAGTACCATAAGTAATAGAGTTTAAAATTTCCAGGGCATAACTATTTTTAATCCAGTCACATGTTTCAATGAGACTGGCGATTAAAAAATAATCTCAATTTCTAGATGCCTTCATGCACCCTGTTGTTCCACCACTCCCCATTGCTGCTAAACGCTCCAGCAGCTACAATGAAAGCAGGGGCCAGAATTACATTCCGCGCACACACGCTGTATTACCGACATGCCTACAGACCCCAACTGAAACCTTGTGCCAGCAGGCACCACGCAAACATACCTAAAGAAACAGTTCCCGTCCCCGCTGCGCCCCCTCCCGCGGCACGCAGCCATGAGCACCCCTGCATCCCCCCAATACC